TAGGCCGTCAAAAATACAACAGCGGAAATTTGCACTTACATGTCATGTAAGGTGTTTCCACAATCGGAAGCAGTTTCTACGATAAGCTAAGTAGACCAGTTTCCCTCGTGAACTGAAGAGAGCTCTATAGAAAGCAAGGGAGTTTGTGACAGGTTCGCTTTTTGTTAAGGAAGAAAAAAAAAGACTTTGAGGGCTTCTAGTTGATCGTGGTGGCCATAGTCATCCTTTACTTTTCCACTGTAAGAACTTGTCCAGTTTTCACTAAGTTCTTCCTTCAAAAGAGGCTTTGGTTGAAAACTTGCTCGCTGAATCAGTTTGACTCCTCGAGCATAGAGGCCACAACATGCCGCATGGCATGAAAGCGCCTGACGTTCACGCCAAACCACTCCAGTCCATTTATTTAGTAATTCGCCGAAATTTGTCACCAGGGATAGCTCAAAGACAGTTCCCGCGATCAAGTGTTACGGGTAGTTAGTGCTAAGTCATGAACCAGTGGCCCTATGAGTAGCTCCCAGTAATGCTTCCCATTAGAGAAAGAAGCGAAAAAAAGCTCGAGAACACTCTGAACACAGACCTCCCCTTAGCAGTGGAGGCGGCGCACTGGAAGGGTATGTCGGACCGTGGCCCGAAAAGCATAGGAAATCGCCCTACGACGCTCCAGACATCATTATGCACACACGCAGCTCCGCTTGTGAGCCGTTGTCTCGCACAGCTACAGTACGATGTTGTACCGGTTGCAACGCTCACGTGTCTCAAACTTCTCTACCTCACCGTTTTGAAGTGGTACGTTCCCTGTGAATATATAACAATGCCAAAGGCATGGAGTCATTTTGAAGGCCACTTGGTCGAGAGAAGTGTCTTCAACAACTTGGTATGTATTTCAGCATTGGCTTAGGTGCTGGGGGGCTGAGGATATGAGAAACGCTTGAGGGACATGCAGCTCGTTTTTTTTTGCTCGTGCACCCTTTGTCCGGCATTAGGATACGTCCCTCTGCCTATGACAGAGCCTTAGTCAAAGAGAGAATCATTATAGCAGGCTACCAGAAAGACCTTCCCATGTGCAGCGCTCGCTCACCCCTCCCTTTTCCCAAACTTCCCTAGCACTCCGCTGAACACCAAATCCCCTCCTGTGCTCTATAGACCCTAGCATGAGAAAAGGGTTTGGCGCTTATAGCACCGGTGCCAAGCGGATCTGAGATTGTGTTCAGCGGATTAAACTTCTCTTGTAGAGACTACCCTCAATAGCAATTGAGTATTTGATCCATTTCTCTACAAACTTCAAACGAGACGCACTCACCGCAGTCCGACTGGTCACGAATGAGATGAAGCGACGGGCAGTTGGGCCATTGAACTCGACTATCGAAGCTGTAACTGCAAAGCTTCCAGGAAGAGCACTCAAGATTCAATATAATTTTCTGCTAAGGGGTTGCTCCAATGAGGGGAAAAGGGAGACCAAGAATCGTAGTTTGCAGCCCACTCACGCGCGCGTTTTTTGGATTTGCTTGATTTGCATCAGCCTGTCGATTGGAGCATCACACCTCGGTAGGCTGAGAAATTGTAGACATTTGTGGATGCTTTGGTTCTACATTGTCCACTGTCCGCATCTGCGAGAAGCTTCTGGGAGAAGCTTCGTCCTTCACGTCGTACGCGACACCCACCGTCGCGGAGAATTGCGAGTTGCTTGTCACTTATACTGGAAAAGGAGTATTCGGCAAGATAAACCACGTAAAGCCTGCTGATCTTCACGCTCGCACTGGAACAGCATGACGCTGCTTTGATGAGTCAAAACAGGGGGTAATTTGGCATTGCTAGTGTGCAATCCCCCTCTACCCACCTAGCTCAGATCAATTCTCAGACCTGGCTTTGCTTTAACCAGTCGCAAAGATATAGGTTTCTGAATGTTTACGCATCGGATGCGTGGTTTTAATATTTCTCATGTGAGCTTATAATAAGTTGCTATAAATGCGCGTCTATCTGTTAAGGTTCACATGAGAGACTTATGTAGGGGGCCGCTGCTGAATGCGGCTAATGATAACGAACTCGACCATGAATTTTGCAGTAGTTACAGCGCATAACTCACGAATGCTCCTACAGGGCATAAGTCACGAATGCTCATTTCGAGGACGTTTTTGTGGGCAGAATTTGACAGTGCGTAGCGTTTCAAAGGGTCCATATGGTGATGCTAGGTGTGAATGCAACGCTAGCTTATTGAGGGTGATGGTGATGCCCGCCGTGAGCAGCAGTAATTTTTGAATTAAAATGACAGAGGGGTGAGGCTAGGCGTGGTTTCAACACCAACTGCTGTGGAAATATGATCGGCGGTAGTCCATATAGGTGGCAAGATTAACATCGGTTCATTCAGTATCACATACAAGCTGCTGCGGCCATTTGATGAGGCAAAATTCACGTAAGGGGAATATGTTGCTGATAATGAGTATTGCTAGAGGTCCTACCTATAACGGCGTGAGTTCTTCAATAATTGCAGTCTACTTCATGGGCGTTCTTTCGCGGGAATGTGCCGTGAGCAACAGCAAGACTGAATGGGGCACCGTCCACAAGTGGTCCATGGTTATGGTGATGCCTGCCGTGAGCAGCAGTAACTGTTGCATCAAAAGGACAGAGAGGTGATGTTAGGCGAACTTTCAACACCAGTTCCTGGTAAACGTATCGGTGGCTGTCGAAGCCGTGTATTCTCTGACGTTGCTGAATTCATTTATGTGAGCGTTAGGGGATAAGCCTTGTGCACAGCAACTACAAGCAAGATCGCTCGAATTAAGAAAGTTATGGTCGTTTAAAGTGAAACACTCAAAACGCTGAGAACTTTCCGGACAACCTAATATCTCACCAATAGCACTAACTCACCTATGAGCGTTCAATATTTGTTCAATCCTCTTTTCTCTCCTCCTCCTTCCACATAATGGGGCATAAAAGGGGCTTCTGATTGAAGCACAGTGGCGGAGGCGCAAGCGATCACCCTTCGCCCGCCTGCCGCCGCGGTGCCGTGAAGAAACCGCGCCGCATACGCGCATGGGTGAGTTTTTCCCCTCCTCCGCCTCCTGACAGCCCCATCTAGCAGCGATATTAGCCGCCGCTTATGACTGCCCTTTCTGGAGCTATGTGACTTTCAGTGGACACTATGGGAAGCATTGGTAGTGATCAGTAGAAACCAGCAAAACCCACCAAGCGGAACTGCTCCAAAAACAAAAGCATTTCTGTTTTTTGCTTTCCATTGATGCGTGGCTCCCCAAACTGTGCCCTCGCATACTGACTGAGGTGTTTTACAGCGGTAACAGCAGCCACCACTGTAAAACACCTGAGCCAGTGTATTTTTCGTGCTATTCTGGGGTTTGCTGAATAGAGACCTATTGTCTATTAATACTTCGTAGCAGATTTTGCCGTCAAAGCACGCAGCGTAATACAACCTATTAACATTTTGACTGACCTTTCTGGAATGTCGTCATTGATGTCGTCCTCGTGCATAACAATAGTGGCCGGGCCCTGATCGCTATATTTCGGATCCATGACCCTACTCTTCAAGTTACGGATTGTCGGTTTTGTTGCAACCTGCAAGTGGGAATTCTCAGTTAGGGAGTCCTCTTCTGACATTTTTGTACGTCTCAAGATACCTCAAATAGTTTTTGATTTTCCTTGAGGTATTTGACAAGCCGCTCACCAGTCAGCGTCTGCGCTTCTGGTGGGACTTTCTGAGCTCGAAGTGCCGCTGTAAATGAAAATTGGTCTCGTAAACGTGAAGAGTGGTGGCGAAGGTGAAAGGACAAACCAAGATCATACTCCTTGGACGTGAAAGACACCTGGGCAAGGCAAACGCAGAAAGCAAGCGCTAAGAGCTTCTAAAAAGAGATTTGTCCCTTAACGGTCACTCCTACGTGGTTAGAAAGAAATATAACTCACCATGGCGTCAAGTTACTTTGCCTTTCTCACATCCGTTTATATCGCGATGAGACCAGCTGTCATGGAAATGGTCGTTTTGATAAGGATAAAATAAAATTTCAGAGAGAACCCATCAAAGTACAAAGATAATTGTAGCGGAACAACCCGTCCAGAGATCCCGTCCCCTTCGGTGGGTTTTTCTTCTCTGTTTTGACCCAGGCATCTTTTGCTCTTGCTCTGCGCTTAGCGCTATCCTCTTTCACTTGAACCCCTTTGCTTTTAGCGTTTCAGCTTTATTAACATGAAGTTTGAATTTGCTCTTTGTTCAGCTCAACTGACCTCTAAGTAAAAAACAAATGCGCTATTCACTAGAACAATTTTCCTCGGAGCTTGACAGGTGTTTCGATGCAAACATAGGCCGGTATTTCGTCGCTGTGAAGTCACGCGAGGTTTCGAAACGGTGGTCTGTTGAGATTACGAATTTCAGAAAAAAAATCAGATAAACAGATCAAGGTGAACGGTTCCCTTCAACCAACTGAGCTGTAAGAAATTTCTTTGTATAGGGCACTCATTCAGGTAAGTTGACGGGAATTGCGAAGGCCACACGTCCCTTATTAGTAGTTACCCTAGGTCAGAGCTGAAGTATCTATTTTTTTTTTTTTTTTTTTATTCTAGGGCAACTGTTGCTCCGCCGAGCACGCAGTTAATGCGGCGGCGGTCCCAGGCATTAGGACTCCGGCCGTTTCCCGGATCCGTTGCTGAAATTTGTTGGCAACGGTCCATAGATTGCTACCGTTTGAGTTCTTCAAACAAGTGGTGGATGGCAGGATGGTGCAGCACTGCAGGGAACATCTGCGTCTCGGTGTGGAGGTACTCGTCGCAGATCACTTCAATTTTTTGCTGCCATTTGCAGCCCAAGCCCCGCTTCTTCTTTTTCTCGAGCATTTGTACCGCTCTGAGGCGTGGGCCGCTCTTTTTATTACGCTACGCCACTTCTCCCGATTGGATGCCTGGTCGGGATGGGTGCCAACTATCTGCAAGTCCGCGTGCAACGTTCTGGCCATCGCTGTTTTGAGCGTCCCTTAGGCCATTTTTCGGGTACCTCGAGCTCGAGCCCAGTCTTACGGACGATGTCAGTATTCGCGCGCAGTACGCGACCTTACCATTAAAGGCGCAGCTTCGCCGCATTTGTCCGGCGCACAGAACTACACCGATCTCTTCCGCATGTCGTCCATAGCGAACGCGATCCCATACGCGTGACACGCCGGCCGTAGGCGCAATTATTTTTCGTCTTTCATCAATCCGCTAGACGAGCTGTCAAAGCAAAACCAGCATCAGCGCCGTATATCGCGCGACAGGTCGCGACGACAGTTCTAACTACGCGTATCATAAGTATATGACACCACCCCCAAAACCCCAGAAAAGGATTGCTTAGTTGATAGACTCCCACGGCTAACAGTTTGATAAGGCGGTGATGTGAAGAAGGCTACGAAAACCGTAATTCACAACTTCATCTGTCAATGTTGAAAAATATAAGGTTGTTCGAACGCTCGAACTGTTTTCAGACCGTATCATAAGTATAGACACACTTCAAGAACCCGGAATCTTTATTATGAAAACACACTACTAACAGCCTTTCAATGATCAATTGGTCCTCCATTTTTTGAAATGCTTTCAAAATTGTGGTTTGGCACGGACTCTACCAGTTTGTTCAGCAGCTGTGGAACCCAAACAAACCCATGCCTGGGCTGATTGCCTGTTCGGAGGTCCGGCGAAATTGAGAAGTCGCTCATTGATTGTAAATATCCCTGGCAAGTATTACCCGTAGATTCTCTATCGGGTTTGACATCCGGAAAACAAGCGGAGCCAATCCATAGTGACTAAATTTCTCTCCTCCAACCTATGCCATAGTAGACCTGCTCACATGGATGGCCGCATTGTACTAATGGAAGACAAACTCTCCTCTACCGTGACTAGCGAGAAATGGCAGCAGGTGTCGCCCAAGCATGTCCTGGTAGTCTCTGAGTTCTTTTTCGTGGAAATGAAGGCTAGTTTGAGCTTGTCGCCTCGATGGAATCCTCCCCAAACCATAACAGTGCCTCCGCCGAAATCGCGCTTGCTGAAAAATTTCTGCTTCTTGCCAAGATCCCTCCAGTGATAAGCGTACCCGTCTGGACCATCCAGGTTAAATTCCTTCTCATCGGAAAACACCACCTACAGAAAATTTCGTCGTTGGACTAGGCTTAGAAAGCGCCCCCACCTTTGACCAATTTGTTGCCATGTTCATTCTGGCGAACTGGAGCCGAGCCTCTTTGTAAGACTCGGTAAGTCGGGGTTGGTCGAAGACGCATCGCGCAATGTTGCTGCTTGCCGTTTTGATCCGCCATCTCATACCGTCATCTTAGAAACGACAGTCGGTAAGCTGGCACGAACGTCGTTGACGCTAATCGTCGAGTTGGAGACAAGCCGTCCAATCTGGCGTTCGTCTTGGGCAATGAGCTTCTCCGGCCTACCAGATCTTCTCTTGCCTCCATAGGATTCCGGCGCACGCCCGATGTACAACCCAAAGGGCGAACGGAGCAGCTGGCGAGCGATCTCACGATTGTTCAGACCTGCTGTGTGCAGGGCGTTAATCTGAGCCTGCTCTTCGTCGGATAGATGAGATCCTCGTGGAACATTCGTGATGGATGCCAGATAGATTATTTTAGTTATTGCCTTCGTGAAACGGTAACTTTTCGCAGAAAGGAATTTCTTTTCTGCTAAATTTTCAAAGTGTGTCTATACTTATGATACAGCTAGATTGGAAGCTTATTGATAAAAAATTTCCCGATTTCTTCCAGTTGGCGTGAAAAACGGTCAAACAGGGTTTCGAGATATGCTGAACTCTATAACAACTAGACTTCTTTCTTTAAGCTCCTACGGAGTACCACTATGGTACTTTCAGAGGTGTGTCTATACTTATGATACGCACGTATATATCTTTGAC